TGTAACTCCAATTCTCACTGGCTAGTAGTTTCTAAAATACAAAGGGGACATCTTAATAATTTTTGTAAGGAAATACTTTTAAGTTTAGAAAAAAATGTTAGAATTACATCTTTCTATCATGTCTTCACAATGAAAAAAAAAATCTTTGCAGATCTTAGAAAATAAGCCTTTATGTGCAAGTTATCTAATACAGACATATTCTTAAGAAATTCTTTTTACTGTTAAAAAATAACCATAAAAAAAAGTCTGGGACATACTTTCATACTTGTGAATACATGATATATAAATATATATTTTAAATATAGATAGTCATTCGATATGCACATTTTTCTGTATCATTGCATATAGCTTCAGTACATAGTAGCATTATCAGTAACTGTGATGCATTGGGAATAATAATAAATATTCAAATCTCTATCTCATTGTTTTTCAAGCAGTAACCTTTACCTCCCAGGGAACATTTGTAATATCTAGAAATATTTTTGTCAGTATTTCCATTCTTGACAAACTAGAGATCCCTAGGGCACAATAACATTATTGTTGTTTAAGTTCCGCCTTTTTGTATGGCTGCTTCACATTCATTGTATATATCTTTATATTGAATTTATTTAATCAACGTTCTGATGACATACATTTAGGCTGTTTCTGTTTTTCCCTATTGTAAAATGTAGGGAAGTGGATATTTTGTACATATCTTATTACTTGCCCACTTATTTCTTTAAATAAATTCTTGTGAATAAAACTGTTGAGGCAAAATATGCACCTTTAATAGTAAATTTTTATGTGCCGCTTTTATGAAATTAAACTGCTAGAAGCTAGTACCACTTTATTCAGTAGAGTGTCCTTTTTACCACACTTCCTTAGTATTTCTATTTTTTAAAACATCTCTGTCAATCTGATAGGTAAAACTTTTTTTTCAATGATTGTGAATATCTTATTGTAACATGATGGCAGTTCCATTTAGAAGCAACTGATGACTTTTGATTTTCATGTTTCATGGATTCTAATAGTGTTTCAGATATTAAAAATGGCAATTTTAAGTCATGGAGTCAAAAGAATAATTGAATATATGTGCATAGAAACTCTCGTCCCAAATATGTCTTCATCCACATATCACTTTTTGAAACTGTGTGAGGAATTATCTTAACAGTTTCTAGTCAGCAAGAGTTGGTAAATAGGTACCCTGTGTAACTCACTTAATATTAGGTGTAAAATAGTATTTATTTCCCTTCATTTAATGCATGTGCCATCTCTTTCTCGGTCTTCTTTTTTTCCCCATTATCACATCCCGGGTACCCTTTGAGACATTTTCTTAATTGTCTCCCCTGTGGTATTTTAATACCATAATATCTAAGATATTGTCACCCCTTCAGGGAACCAGATTTTGCCCCCATTGGAGTAATAGTACTCCCATTAAGAGTGTATCCTTTTTGCATGTCTGACAACCTTTGTATTGATATTTGGGAGAGGTGTGTTAAAAGCTTTGCTGTAAATAAATAGGTTTCATAGGACTCAGAGAAGGAGTTGGTATTTCTATTATTTTATCCATTCTCTAGAAGGGAATATTAGGGTTAGTAATTGCTGCTGTTGCAGAAAGAACTGGTAAATGACACACAGAGACACAGAAGTGGGTAAAACAGACAAACAAAAAATTTACTTTGCTAGCAAAGGGTCAGCCTGCACCAAGGGCTGTGCTAAATGACCCACCCTGGGCTGGGTTACAGTCTGCCTTTTATAGGAGTTTTATAATCATGAGCTCATTTTAGGTAGTTCGATAAGACATTCCAATTCTCTCAGTTCCCATCACAAATCATGGTCACAAGACAGTTTAATTTTAACCCAATGTAGCACCTTCTTTGTGGTTAGGATGTTTGTCTTTAGGATTTGCCTAATTAGCTATTCTAGCCCACAAGAGTGGGGATCAGGTTTGGGAAAACTGGACTGGTGACATTCCTTTTATCTCTTTTGTAGTCATGCTATTTACAGAAAGTTTAGGTTTTAGGGTCTAAGTGTACTTTGCTTGTAAGGTATGAGGATTGTTATCTTAGTTTAAACATCTGGTCTCACCCAGGGGATACGGCTAAGCACCTCTGGCATCTGTTAATCTTATAACATTTTAAACTGGGGCTACATGCCTTCAAGCTTTGTAGTTAATGATGAAACCTCTGGTATCGTCCTAAGAAACAAGCAAGCAAAGCAAATTACAGAAGGGAAAGACAAATTATTCTGTATTTCCTTAACATTTTGTAGGTTTCAGACTATTACAGAAGTTCTCTTTATCACTACTATTATTTCACCAATCCTGTTTTCAAACTAAACATATGCCTTGGAGTACCTAGTTACCTAGAATATTCTAGGCACAATATTTTCATTCTTTAGAAAGTTGATGTGCCAGCTGGAGTGGTGGTGCATACCTGTAATCCCAGCACTCGGGACACTAAGGCAAAAGGATCACCACAAGTTCAAGGCCAGCCCAGGCTACATAATGAGTTCAAGGCCAGCATGAATTATACAGTGAGACCCTGTCTCAAAAAAAAAAAATCGATATGCCAAAGACACAGTTACGTTATAGTTGAAAGCATTTGTTGAATTTAGAAAACGGTAGCATTGGAGCTAATATTAATCTTCAAACCGCTATCCTGGTGGTTTTTAAACAGTGATTTTGCCTCCCAGGGGACATTTGCAGTGTCGGGGAGCATTTTTAGTTGTCAGAACTGGGAGGGGGTTAATAGTGGCATCAGTGGGTAGAGGCCTGGGATGCTGCTAATTTTCCTGCAATGCAGAAGGCCGCCCCTTCTATCAGGCCTAAGATGTCTACACTGCTGAAGTTCAGAAATCTTGAGCTATCCTAATGATTGTACTTCTTAGAATTTCTCTTTAAAAAATAATACAAGTAGTTTCTGAGATGTGGGTGTATGTGTATTTTTTTAAATAGGACATAGGTTATGATATGTAATTTTGGAAATTGAGAAACTTAATTCTTTAAGTCTCAGGAAGAGATTTGATTGCCCATGTCAAAACTAGCTTGAATTTCAGAACTGTTAAAGAATTGGAAACTACTTTAGATAAAACTAACTTACTCATTTTACCTGGTCTTTATATAACTCTTTCACTTCCAGTTCTCTACCTTGGGTGATAGTACAGTACAAAAGTCATCAACTATATGAACAACTTTTTATTTCCTAGAAGAAAAAAATGTGTCTCAAAAATATGATAAAATGTAAATGGATTGAAACTGAAAAAAATGAATATTCTGTATCCTCTTTTTTTCTGTTTTTGAAATATTGTAAGATGACATTTAAAAAGTAGATATACTTTTCAAATTTATTTATGTTTGGGCCAGGGTTTTAGCTCAGAGGTTCGGCCACCTGCCTTGCAAGTGCAAGGACCTGAGATCGATCCCCAATACCAAAAAAAGAAAAAAGAAAAAAACATTTTTTTGTTTATGTTTGAACAGAGACTAAATATAGAAAGATTTTTATAATGGTTATAATTTATATATAATTAAAAAATAACTATTATAATCACAATTAGTTAAACAGAAAAAATGATTTGTGTTTGGAATGTGCCTTCTGACGATATTCAGGGTCTACTAAATGTTAAAGGTGAATGGTTCTTGAAATTACTCAAGCAATGACTAGGATAATTATGATTTACAATTTTGCAAGGTGAGCAAATTGGGCTTCTTTTTTCCCTCTATAAGTTAATGTGAAAAAATAAATAACAGACGGAACTGATATATCTTGGCTTTTTAATAGTGAGATTATGTAATATGACCGTTTCACAGATAAAGAACATTGCAAGGTGTTTTGTTTTGGAAGAATTATTTAATGAAAAGTAATGACTACTTCATATTCAAAATATTTTTTTAATTCTTTTTCTTTGAGACTTTAGATATCTGGCCTTTATATTAGTAAAGGGTACTTTTTGACTGTTTAATTTTCTAAAAGTTTATTCTGTAAGTAGCACTGTAAACATAAGCATAATTAATCATAATTCTCCCTAGTTTTTATCAAAAACTGTCACATTGCTGAAGAAAACTGTCATATTTTGATATATAGTAACCTAATGAATGAAATTTTACTTGGATTTTTGTTTATTATTTCCTAATAAAATATTGACTGAATTATGTGTTTGTTGGAAGATAACACTATCAGATTATATTAGAAGACAGTTGTTTTAAATTTGGAGGACATACTGCTAAGGGATGGGTTTCCAGAAGATACTGAGCTTTGCTTGAAGAAGTTGCTTCCAACTATAACAGGCTGTTAAAAGTTTCTTCTAAACAGGAAAACATTGTGTGAAATCATCATGTTGTAAAGACTTTTAAGTATCTGTAGTGGGTTCAATATTTTGAAAGTTAAATTTTTTTTTTTTAAAAGAGAATAATGTCCAGTGTCACTAAATTTAGATATTAAATAAGACATGGTCATTTTTCTGAAATCAAACATTTAGTGAATTATTACTGTTGATTCCATATCAAACCAAAGTTTAAACCTGAAAGCAAAGGAACTTAGCTCAGAGTGCATTTTGCTTAGCAACCAGCTTGTTGTCTACTGTTTTGCTACTGAATGCACGTACTCATTCCTCAGAAGTGTATCTGCCGCCAGCTGGACTCAACTGGACAATACTTCATTCACCTAATTTCCAGACTAGTCAGGCAAAGACATCAGCTCATTGTATTTAGTCATGAGGAAATTTATTTGTAAATTTCAAGTAGTAGCACATTGATCTCAAAAGCCCCTGAACTATGAGAAACTCTCTTCTAATTCAGAAATGTGAAGACCGTGGAATTCTGAAATGCTTCACTTTTTTTTTTTCTCTTAATGCTTGCAAGTACTCTATTGTTTTAAAAATACTAGAAAAAAGCAAATAGCTCTTAATAGAAAAGATATTTGAAAATCTAACAAGAATTATCTGAATGAAAATTCAGAAAGTTTGATTTGTATTCACACTTCTGTTATCTACATTGATTTTCACATAGTTATTTTTGCTTTTAGAAGACAACAGTTTTGTTGGCACGTGAAGCTGCAGTTTCCTCAAAGTCAAGCTGAGTACATAGAAAAGAGGTAGAGTATCACCACTGTCTATTTAGAACTGACTCTTTTTAAGACTAAAATGAACTTAACTAAATGTGTATCAGTGTTAGAATAAAAAAGTTACAATTATAGTCACACAAGGAAAACTAAACAGTGCTGAAAATAAATGGACTATAGCTATTCACATCAGGGGCCCACAGAAATAATAAAAAAGAAATGAAAGATGAAAGCATACTATATGAGTTTTTAAATATTAAAAGTAAAAAAGAATGAAAAATAAAAATCCCAAAACCTAAATAGTGTACTTTTCAAAAGTACCTACAGAGGTGGGAGAACTCTAAGGGATATGATTAACAGGAAAATCATGACAAATATTTGAGCAGGAGGAGCACACATTTAGGAGAGGGATGCAAGGAAAATGAGCTGATAACTTTGTTTTTTAGGCTGAGTAGTTGTATAGGAAATGAAAAATTACCCAAAAGTCTCTTCAGAAATTACTACTGTTAACATTGTAATATATGCCTAGGAAGATACATTATTTTATATATGTACTCATTGTTAGAATTAATTTGTGTAAAGTTGTCCTACTTTTTCACATTAGGAACATTTTCAAATATTGTTTTAAAACTTTTAATGACTGTGTGCTATTTGATTCCTTGAGTTGGGAAAATTTAAAGTTGCTAGTTAATATATTTTGCATAAAGTATGTCTACATTATACGTACTATCTTGTTTTTATAATTGCCCCATGAGTCTTAGGGAAGAACTCTGTTAACCAAAGTTGATAAGGGCCGGGTATTTAGCTCAGCTGTTCGGTGGCCTGCCTCGAAAGCGCAAGGACCCGAGTTCGATCTCCGGTACCAAAAAAAAAAACAAAAACAAAAGTTGATGCCAGACTAGAAACAAAGGAATCTATGTAGGCAATAGTATAAATTAACATATATAAATGATTGAGGAAAATCATTTCAAAACTGTCATAATTTTATTTATATAGATACATATATATACATATACATATATATATCTATACATATATAGATATATATATATACACACATACAAACAAGAAAGCTGAAAAACTTTAAATACTTTGTTTCCAGGGAAATAGTATCTACTCTTTAACCTGGTGTTATGATTTAGGATGAATAAACAGGAACACACTAAAATTAGTATCATCTGAAACCTTTCTTTAGATTTTTTTTTTTTGCAAGTTTCAAATACACTTCATCTCAAATGCATTTCATCATGACCTCATGTTTGAGCACAGGTATGTGTTAAAAGAGGCTTCATAATTTTTATTATTGATTGATACAAAACTGTTCAAAATGTTTTTTAAGGCCTTAAGTGTATCAAAAAAGTCTTCTTGAGCTTTTTTCCTATGTAATTTTTGCTTGAAAAGATCTTATATTTTTCCAGGAGTAAAGTAGAAGATATATGTCCAGTTATTTAAGTCAAAAAAGCCTCATTTAATAATTCTACGTCAGTACCTTTAGTAGCAAAATATAAATAATCTGTTTTTTTTTCTTTGCTGGAAAGAGTGCCAGATGATAAAACTATAAATGAAATTCTAAAACCTTACATTGATCCTGAAAAGTCTGATCCTGTAATTCGCCAAAGGTAAGTTTCAAAAACCTTGTAACTGTCTGAAGTAGTCATTAAAAATGTTGAAGTATATTTAGGTGCTTATTTATTATGAAAAGCAATGCTAATTCATTTAATCCTCACAGTAACTCAGTATGGTAAACCACTCTTACTATACCCATGTTACAGATGTGGAAACTAACTTTTAAAGTGATTAAGTGACCTCATATAACTAATAAAAAGGTAAGCTGAGATTCAAACCCAGGCAGTCCAGAGTTAAAGTCTGCCCTCTTAACCCTTAAACTAAATTGCCTTTCAAGTTGAACTAAAAACTGGAAAGTAAGACTTTCCACGTAGCTGTTAAAGACAGGAAATCCTATTTCAGCCAAGTCTTTATAGAACTAAGTAAGGTACATTCTGCCTGCTGTCCAGAAATACAGCATGGACAAAAGCAGTTAACATAGCATAGTGGAAAGTTTCAGTAATGGCTATATGAATTAAAATAGCTAGCTCTGTCCCTTATTAACTATTTGATCAAGAGTACATTACTTAACTTCCTGGCCTTTAATAGTTCTGTCAGTGAAATGGAATGACAGTACCTACTAGATGGAGTTGTTGCTAAAGTTTAAGAAAAGTAGCATATTAAAAATTCCTAGTGCAAGGCTAGCAGATAGTAGGTGGTACTCAAAAAAGAGAAGTGTGATTGGAGTATGAGTTATTAGTGCTCTTGGACAGAAACCCAATTGACTCTACTGTATTTTCACAAAATAGTACTTTACTATGGCTATGAATGCCTGGTTTAGTTCCAGAGTAATCTGATGTTTAAAATTTACACTCTGTATTTTAAAATGTCATCCTATCCAGTTCCAGTTAAATCTCATTTTTCAACTTTTTATAAATGGTACTGCCTAGACTGGTCCAAACCCATGTCAAAAATCAAAGTGTGTCTTTGGAACAACTATGATAATTGAGTTTCTTTCCTTGCAACTAGTAGTCTTCATGTTATTGTTAATCATATAGTTGGCAGGAACACAAAATCCCGGTCACTAATTTGAATGCATTTTTTAAATAAATATGTAAAATAGCTAATTAACTTGCTGAAATATCTACTTTTAAATTAAAGATGAACAGAAGAATAGTAATTCTTTTTCAGATCCTTCATTAGAAAATATGTTTGCCTTCTTTCCTGTGCTTATATAGATAACATTTAAGTATTATTGACTGTTTATAAATGTTTACACTTTATAAGACTACCTTGAAATGTACTAAAAATCAGTTTTGTTTCCTTCCATATGATGCTTTTATTTCAGGTTGAAAGCCTACATTCTCTCTCAGACCAGGGTGCAGATATTAATGAAGGTTGAAAATATGCAGCAAAATTTAGTAAGGTAAAATTGGTTCCTTCCTCATTTCTTTAAATATTTTCTAATTCTATAGTATAATTAAGTAGCTTGCTTAATTTTAAAAAGGTAGACTATCTAGCTGCCAACAAAACCTAGACTTGCAAAAAACAAACCTCTCAAATGAAAATTCTAAAATAATCCCACTTATAAAAACAAATTTGGTTGAAAAATTGGCCTAGTTTGAATATTTTTAAATATTAGATAAAAAGATTTCTGAAGCCCATGTTACTTATTTCATAAACATTTGAAAAAATATTTGTGACTGAGTTCCAGTGTTCAGATTCATACCTTTGGAAACATGAAAAGTGACTGTTTTTGTTACCACTTTTTGGGGTTGTCCTGTCATCCATTGTCCACCACCCTCTACTCCCACCCTCATTGTTTCTTTTGTATGTTTATCTGTTCTTAACTGCAAATAGTAGTCATGGGTACTATTTTAATGGTTACAAGGATGGAATTAGTTATTTTTTAAATTAATACACATGTATATGAAACAATGGGTTGCTTTTTTAGAATTAAATGTCTGTTTTGGTCCATCTTAGTGTCAGGTTGGCTGCAGTTACCTTTTGTATTACCCAGATATTACACTTCTATTATCCAGATAATTAAACTTCTTTACCAAAGCTGGGAAACCAATTTATATCCTTGTGGTATAGTTCCCGGACAAAAAAAATTTTGTTTTTTTCCCTGGGTTCTGTTGTTTGGTTAGGTTTTGTGTGGTTTATTGGTTAGGTTTTTCTTTTGGTTTATTTCTTGATGCTACTTTATTTCCTTTCTTAACTAAAATAGAAGATATGCTATATTTCCCTTTAAGTCAGGGCAACTGGGTTGTGGTTTATAAAGAAATGTGCAGCTCCTTATACCTGTCAAACTTGACTCCTTAGCAGAATATCTTCTTGTAAAACTGAAGGAAATCAAAATGTGATTAAAAAAAATAAATATAGGATGCAGAGTTTGTAGTACAGAACAGACTGCTTGGGCCCAAATAACATTTATTTTTAACTTAGAAATATGTTGTGAACATTAAGTTAATACATGTCAGCTACTTATAACACCTGGCACTCTCAATACATTTGTATTATTCAAACATTTTGAATTGTAATTAGAAAAACATTTAGGTTAACATTTTACTGAAATGACTTAATGAGTATAAGAAATTGTTTTGTTTTATTTTATTTTTAAAATCTTTGAGATTACTTCCTTAGTAAAAAGAGATTTGCTTAAATAAAAAAGTTCCACATGCCTAGCATTTGAGTGGTTTACACATCACTTTTTTTTTTTTTTTTTTTTTTTAATAACAGCTTCTTTCAGCCAAATAATTTCTTACACTTCTGGAAAGCACTCTAAATTCATTATTAACTCTACTCAAAACAGGCCCCTCGCCACTAACTTTGAGGGAACAAATATCCAATTGTATTGATTTAATTTCTTTTGACATAAATTGAATATTGGAAGAAAATGAAGTTTCAGAAGCTTAAGATGTCATCAAATGTTATTTCTGGACAAGTGACTCCCAAACTTAGATGTAGATTTTCAGCCTTTTTCCCGGTACCAAATTCTTGCTTCTAGCTATCTTCATGTACATGTTTCATTCAATCTTAGGTTTGATATGTCTAGATCTCCTTATGCCAAATATGTTTCTTTCTCATGTGTTTGTATATATGTGTACGTATGAGTATGTTTTGTATTAAATAGATTGACTGTGTTTTTGGCTTTTAGTAAACAATCAACAAAAATGGTACTCATTCCCTGTTATTGGCACTGTCATTCTTCTAGCACACCAGCGTAAGACCTCGGAGCCAACTAACTTTCACTTCTTCATTTCTCCCTTACCACCATTCCTTATATAATTGACCGCCAGATTGAGTTTTCCATCTGTCTTCTTTTCACCATTCTTTATTAGTACAAATTTGCCATACATAATGATTTCATTTGTTATGGGAAATTTATGCTTGTATATGATATACCTTAATTCTCTTTTTCCCATCTTCCTCCCCTCCCTTCCTTCTGCATTTGCAAAAACTGTTTTGATTTTTTTCTTCTATTCTCTTTTTAAATCTTTTTCCTCCTTCCTCCTCTTTTGTTCCCCTCCCATTTGAACAAGCTCTTCCTATTCCCCAGTATCTATCCTTCATTTTGCTCCTTATTTACCCTTTGGGTGTCACACACAAGAGAAATAGTGTGATATTTGAACTTGTATGTCTGGCTTATTTCACTTAAAATTACAGTCTCAGGATGGATTTAGCTAAAAATGCATTTACCTAAAAATGTCTCATTTATCTTTCTTTAAGGCACAGTAATATTCTCGTATATATAAACTCTACATTTTCTTTATCCGTCATCTGTTGATGGGAATATGGACTATTTTCAAGATTTTGATACTATGAATTGTGCTTCTATGAACATGAGTATATATACCTCACTGTGATATAATGTCTTTAACTTTTTTGAGAAATTACCTAGAAAGGGAATAACTGGGTTAAATGGGATTTCTATTTTTATTTTTTTGAGGAATCTCCATACTGGTTTCCACAGTGCTTGTACTAATTGACACTCCCACCAAAAGGATTCCTTCTCCCCTCGCCACCTTATTGCCTCTCCAGAATTTACTGTTTGATTTCTTGACAATAGCCATTTTTTCTGGAGTAATATGGAATCTCAGTGTTGTTTTAATTTGTATTTTACGAATGGCCAATGTTACTGAACATTGTTTTGTGTATTTATTAGCCATTTGTACTTCACTTGAAAAGTAAATTTATTTCAGATGCCCATTTTTTGATTGGGTCTTTAAATTTGGGAGATAAAATCTTTTTGAGTTCTTTATATAGTCTAGATATTGGTCCTTTGATGAGTAGCTGACAAAATTTTTTTCTCATTCTGTAGACTTTCTTGTCATTCTGTTGATGATTTCCTGTTGGGCAGAAGCTTTTTATTGACGTGATCCCATTTGGTGATTTCTGGTATTATTTGTTGTACGCCATGGTTCTTTTCAGAAAGTCTTTGCCTACACCTATGTCTTCAAGTGCTTTACCTATTTGTTCTTCTAGCACATTGTTTCTGCTTTAATATTTAGATCTTTGATTATTTCTGTTTTAGTTTAGTGCATGGTGAGAGATATGGGTCTAAGTTTGATCTTCAGCATGTGGAAAGCCAGGTTTTCCAGCACCATTTATTAAAGAGGCTATGTTTCTTCCAGTGAAGGTGTTTGGCCTCTACGAGACAAGGATGCCCACTATCACCACTCCTGTTCACTAAAGTTCTGGAAGCATTGGCCATAGGAATTGGACAAGAGAAAGAAATAAAAAGAATATAAATAAGAAAGGAAGAAGTTGAATTATTATTTGCTGATGACATGATACTGAACATAGACCATCCCAAAAACTCCAACAAAAGATTCTTAGAATTAATATACAAATTCAGTAATGTAGCAGGATACAAAGTCAGTACTCAAAAATGAACAGCATTCCTGTACATAAATAATAAACTCACTTAGAAATTGGGGAAGCAACACGTTTTACAGTAGCATCAAGAAAAATGAAATACTTAGGAATCAATCTAATAAAGTAAAGCCCTCTGTAAAAGACCTCTGCATTGAAAACTACAGTACTCTGAAAAAAGAAATCAAAGAGGATATCAGAAAATGGAAAGATATCCTCTGCTCCTGGATAGGCAGAACCAATAGCATAGTGAAATGATATACTTCCAAGACTGTTATACAAATTTAATGCAATCCCAATCAAAATACCAATAGCGGGCGGGGGATTTAGCTCAGTGGTTCGGTGGCCTGCCTCTCAAGTGCAAGGACCCGAGTTCGATCCCCGGTACCAAAATAAATAAATAAATAAATAAATAAATAAATAAATAAAATAAAACTATTTATAAAAAGTTTATTTTAAAAAGAAAAAACCAATAGCATTCCTCACAGAACTAGAGAAAACAATCCTAAAATTTATATGGAACCAGAAGAGACCTAGAATGGCAAAAGCAATTCTTGGCAACAAAGGCAAAGCAGGGAGCATCACAATCCTTGATTTGAAGTTACATACTACAACGCTAAAGTGATAAAAACAGTACAGTACTGACAAAAAACAGACTCAAGGATCAATGGAACAGAAAATGCAAAAGCAACTCCAAGCACACTTTTTTCTCCATTCTTGTTTGTTTGTTTGTTTTTTGAGACAGGATCTCACTACATAGTCCAGGCTAGCCTTGAACTCAATGAGTAGCCCAGGCTAGCCTCGAACTTCTGGTTATCCTGCCTCAGCCTGCCTAGTGCTGGGATTATAGGCATACACCATCACACTTAGGTTTTTCTCCATTCTTATAGCTAGACTCATTTGCTTTTGTATGTGGCGCCCATTCTTTTGCCCCAAATTAGATTCAATTTCCTTATCTTTTCAACCTCAGAATATATTATACTTCCTCATAGCTTCCTGTAATCCTGTCTTGTATTCTTCCACAATAAAGCTTATCCCATATCATGATAAACTTTGAGGACAGTGACTGCCTTAGACACCTTCAACTTTGTATTTCCTAAACTGTTGTCAGTGACTTCCCCATACATTTAAATCTTCCCTTTTTAATGACCAGTCCTCTAATTCACTTAAATATATTTGTGCCTGTTGTATGCCAAATTTTGATGCCACTTTAATATCTTAGAGCAGGGCTTAGACCACTTTTTCTGTAACTGTCCAGTCCGGATAGTGAATATTCTGGCTTTCTGAGTCATATGATTATAACTTGCCCACTTTGCCTCTGTAGTACATAGCAGCTATGTAAATAAACAGACATAACTATATTCCAATAAAACTTAATGCAGGCAAAACAGACACTGGCCAGGGTTTGTCCTCCTGGCCATATTTATAGATCATTGCCCTAAATGGTGACTTGTGACCGTATCATTTAACCAGTTGGGAACTTCAATTCACAGTATGCAAAATGAGAGATTTTAACAAGGGCCTGGCATAATTTAAAGGTTACTTCAG